GACTATCACAAACAAAAAATAAAATCGAATTTATAAGATGAAAATACAGGGGAGGGCAAAAATAGGCTTACGGTTGTGAGTATACACAACAGAGCTTTGTGTTTGTATTATTATTTATTAATTATTGTATTACTTATTTGTATTGCAAGTGTAAAACTGCTTTTGCCCACCCTTATATTAAAAGGAAGGACAAAGAGATTTAAAAAAAATTTTTTTGGTATAATTTCAGAATTCAGAGGAGTTGCAGGAGGATGTATTTATGTGTTTTTATTTTATTTTATTTTTAAGAAAATACTGGGTTATGCAGTCAGGCCCTTTCAGAGGCCATGGGTACCACCTTACTGAGGCTGCTTTCTGTTCGACTGTTACTCCCCGAAAGCCAGAATCAGCGACCGAGAAAGGAATCAGGCAATGAGGCTTCAAACTCTGGCTGTGTCTCTTACGTTATCTGGACGTGTTATTTGGCACTGGGACCTCACTTTATTCACCCATAAAACAGCGATAAACTCAGGTTTCTTGTGGGAATTGTAAGAGAGAGTGCCTTCAGGGACCTCGGACACCTTCCATGTGCATACTCCATGTAGGCCATTGTTATCACCATCTTCTCAAGTTCCTTAAGAGGGCACCTACGCCCAGTAACTGTTTATTAAATTCGGTAGCTTCCTTTTGGTGAAAGCCTATGATGTTCCAACCACCATGCTATGTTCTTTTCTGGCCTTGTCATCTTAACCCCTCACCACTAAAAATGTGGTCCCGGGACCAGCTACATCAACATCACCCAGGTGAGAAATGACAAGTCTCAAGCTCCATCCCCCAATCTAATCAACCAGGCTCCGCATTTTTAATAAGATTCCCCAGATGATGTGCATCAATGTTAAAGTTTGTGGAGTGTTATGATCTCAACTATCCTACAAATTAATAATGATAATCTACATTTCCAGAGGAGGGAAGGGAAGGTCAGAGATGAAGTGACTTGTTCTAAACCACATAGTCTTTAAAGTGACTGTTTTAAACTACTAGGCATTAACTTTCCCATATGCCTGGTTCCCTAGTCCCACTCTGCCATCCAACACCCTCAGTCCAGTGCCAGCCCCTAATGCTTCCTGGGTGTCCAGGAAGAGTCAGCTGCTTCACGGTGGTCTTGGTGGGACCATTGGAAATGGCAGGAGCCAAAACTAGACTCAAGCTCCTGGGGTCAGTCCCAGGTTACACAACTATTCTCTTCTGTGTCCTTCCCCTAGTTTTTTCAATTTTCCCTTACCTCAACTGGATACAAGACTGTTTCTAATTCTCCCTCCTTAGGGTCCAGTTAGCTCTTTCTCTGTCCAAGGTAAATCCTCCTCCCCAGCACTTTCTTCCTCTCCCTTTCCTCCCTTCTGTCTAAGCCAAGAGCCTCTCCCAGCTCAGTCCCAGGAATAAACATTGTCCCATGACCTCCAGCAGCTTATATAGCCATAGGTCTCTCTAGCTCATGGACCCTGTAGGTCCCTCTAGCTCATGGACCCTGTAGGTCCCTCTAGCTCATGGACCATGGGGAGTTTTTTAATAGTGAGGGTTGAGGTTCGAGAGTTGTCCATATCCTTTCAGGAAATGTCTTTCTGTTCATTAAATAAACAAGGATGTTAATGTAAATCCCTGTGCTGTACTCCCCACCCCGTCCTCCAGTCTCCTGTCTTTGGTATACAACTTGTTCCTATAGACCACAACTGGACACCCAGGAATAAAGGTGGTTGAGAGAATTACCAAAGGTGCTGATTCAAACTATAGTAAAGCTTTGAACCTTGAGCAGATCACTTGGTTTGTGTTTAAAGTACTCTATTCTTGAGATTTCCTTTTCTGGTGCTGATGGGAGTTTGCAGAAGGAATTACAGCACCCATTTTCTCTTGTCACACTGGGATTCCCTCTCAACACTATCTCTCTGCTTGAAGTTTCTCAGGGATTATCATGACTACCTTATCAGTGACTAGGACCATGCTGGCAAGTCCAAAGTCCAAGTAATTAAATGTTAATAACAACTAAGTACAGATGAATGTACACTGAATCATAGTTCCCTATGGACTTCAACTGTGTTTTTGTATACTTTTCTCCACAATTTTACTTTTGCAGGAACAGGAAAGATTTAAGCGTGATCATAACATTATTTTTCCTAAGAAAAAATTTTTTAAAAAATGCAAGTTTTTAAACTATTCCAGTTCATTTGAATTTGGTCATTTTCCAACAAACAGGAAAACAAACAGACAAGTGCATCCTCCTGGCTGCTCAGAGTAAAAAGGTAACATAGGCCTGAACATGAGACAAATACAGAAATCAGTAATTGAGGACAAGACTGTGTTGAAACAGGAAGAAAGCTTAGCAGCATTGATTCCTGCTCTGTTGCTGAGGAAACTGAGGCCAGAGGCTTGTCCAAGGTCACATAGCTAATTATGGTAGATCAAGGACTAGGACCGGGTTCATGACACTTAATTTATTTGTGCCGCGTAAACATTTTTTATGAACCAGTCCTTTGTACAAACTTGGGGAAATATTTGAATTTGTTTTGAAGTCTTTCATACTACCTTAAAATTTGCATAAACTCTGCATTTTATAACACACTTCACCCATGTTTCTTGTGATTGGAAACTAATGTATCCTAGCTTAGCATTTCCCCATGACTCAGGGTAAAATATGGATGCTCCTCATATCCCCTGGATCCCTGCTGGGGATCCTGATTTCAGAAGCCTTCCAAATGGCCTCATGTGTTTCCAGTAAAGCTATTAATGTGTTACATGTGTGCCTGAACTGTTTTCTCTAATCTTTGGTGATTAATTAGGCCCATTTGGTTTGGTGAAGTGGATCTGAATGAATGTCGAATGTTGGCAACTCCATTCATACACTATGTCAGCCTCCTCCATCCGGCAAGGAGTTTTAGGCTCTCAGATATGCTATGTAGCTGCCCATTAGAGGTGGGTGTTCTCTAATCCCCGGGGAGTGGGAGCCTTGAGAAGAATTCTATAGATAACTCGCCTACTCCTGGGCCTTTTTACATGCTGTTCCTCCACATGGTAATGCTTTTCCCTGCTTTTTGGCCAGGGAAATATCCTATTCATTCTTTCAAAAGTGCCAGGCGCTATTATCTTTATCAGATTCTCTCTGTTCTTTCCCCTTGAAATTAGTCTCCCTTTTCTGTGTTCCTAAAAACATATCAGACCTCTTTCTTGAAAATAGTTTGTCTCTCTTTCCACTCAAGCTCTTTGAAGGTGCGCAGTGTCATTGTTGTATCTTCACATGGCTTGTTGACACTTTTATGTAGTAGCTGTTTAATCCCTCTGGGTTGATTTGAATTTCTCAGTCAGGAAAAAGCATGATTTAGGTTGCTTTTGCCATGTGAAGAAAAATAAAGGATGCATTTTGCCCTTCTTCTCAGGAGACTTAGGAAAGTTCCCATGTTTGGATTTTCTTCTTATTATTTTGGTGTTACACTAGCATAAGCAAAAGTTCAACTCTTTATATTTCTTTTCCCACAAGGGTTTCACTCGATTGTTTGGGATATGCTTCAGTCCTAAACAGAAAGAGGAAAAGAGCTCTGTGTGGAGTAGATGTTACAGAAAGTTCTCTTTCAAATAACCCTTGCCTTTCTGTGTCTCTGAGGGTTAGCATGTCTTTATATGCCTAGCACCTTGCTACCAGAGGAGGGTGCAGAGTTTGCTTGGTCTGGGCCACAGGGATGAAGGAGGAGAAACTTCAGTGGGGCCCTGTCCTATATGGTTTGACAGAGAGTGGACAAAGAGATTGGACGTGACTAGGCTTAGATATCCACCTCTTTACAAACCATACCTCAGTTCCGAAGAGAAACCATCCAAAAGCCTTTCTAATTTCATCATGAGGTGGAAATCCTGCTAATAGTCTATATTAGTCAGGGCAGGTTAACTGTGAAACTATTCATGCCCAAGTCTCAGTGGCTTAATAAAATAAAGTAGTATTTCTGCCATCTATAACAAGTGCATGTGGGACCTTGGGTGTGTGTGAGGGGAGGTGTGTGTGTGTGTGTGTGTGGGGGGGGTGCTGCATGCAGCCATTTCAGGACCTGAGCTCCTTCTGTCAGTGGCCCTCATCATATCCTTTGGCCTCAAAGCCCCCTTCTGGATTCCCTACAACTGACGGGCAGATGAGGGCCAAGGGAGAAATGAAGCCAGTGCATGCCCTAGAAATGGCATACATCACTTCCACCTGCATGCCATTGGTTAGGCTGTTCATATGGTCCCAAATGACTGCAGGGGAGGGTGGGAAACATGGTGTATTTGTGGCCCTAGGAAGAAGAGAAAATGGGTTTGTTTATTATCCAACCACTTGTCACATGGACCTTGTTGGATTTATTATTGTTGTTATTAATATTTCACTTTTAAACCTTGATATCAGTTATTAAATAACCCTAACTGGAGAGGTTAAGTGAAGGAGATAAACAGATTTACCATCCCTGCAAAGCCTTCCCTGATTCCTCGTCACTCCTGACTTCTGGTTCTGATATGTCTCAATTCTGAATACCAGGAATACTCTGGACAGGCCTCCCTTAGGTATCTACCTCTTTCCAATCTAATAGTATATGACTTATATGACCACCTCCTTAAAGGGAGCTACTGTTCATGTTTATAACTCCCACCACAATGCATCTTGCATACCGTGGACAATCACTGAAGATTTGTGGAATTTATAAATTATTGAACCTTTAACTCCCTTACCCTCATTCCAACACAACATAACATTGCTTGAGCTTTACACACAGTGGGAGCCTGAAGCCCCACAGCTCATGTACCCATACCAACGACAGTCCAACCTTCAGGTTAGAACCAGAGAACTAAATTACTATAAATAGATAATGTCAAATTATATATACACATACATTCATATAATTATATACTCTTTTAAAGAAATTTATTAATGCCTTTCTCATCTGAATTGGAAAAAAAACATGGCCTGAAATTTAATTCAGTAAATGACAAACTTGTGTATGTGTTTGGATTAGATGGATGGAACCAACAGATTTCATCTATTCATCTGGGAGACTAAGTACCAACAGGACACAGAGCGCGTGACCCGCTGCATACTCTGCTATGGTAAGCATTTCTGATTAGACTGATGTTTTGTTTGTTTCTGTTTTTATTGTTGAAAGTATTTTTTCCCCCATTGACTGGACTGATATTTTTATAATAGGATTAATTAATTGGTGGCTACAGCCGGATCTGTTCTGCAGATGTGTATTTTCTTGGTATGTGCAGAGTTTCAGAATCTTGGAATTTCCTGCTAATTCTGGATTATCAGTTTTTCTTAGGAAGTCAGAATAGTGTGAAGAATCACAGATGTTGGGTTCCCATGTGGCTACCGTCAGCAAGAACTGAGTTATGCCTACCCTCCCTCTTTTTTTTAATCCTCACCAGAGGACATTTTCCCATTTATCTCCAGATAGAGTGAGAGGGAGAGAGAGAGAAACATCGACGTGAGAGGGACACATTCACTGGTTGCCTCCCACACGACCCTGACCAGGACAGGGGACGAACCGCAACCGAGGTAGGTGCCCTTAACTGAATGAAACTGCCACTCATTGGTCCATGCGCTGACGCTCTACCGCTGAGCCAAACCGCCCAGGGCTCCACCCCCTTTTGATGGGGCAAATGTCTGCTAGTACCTCACCTTTCCTTCCCCTCCATATTGTCTTACCTCTGGCCTGTTCACTTACTTACCTGTCCTGCCAGGTTCCTGTAGATGGCTGGGCTTGTGCCCCTTCCCTAGTGGCACTTCAGTATGAAGGGCAGACCACTGAACTAAGAGTCAAGAGTCCTAAGGTTAGGACTGCCTGGATTTACCACTGATCAGAGGGATATCAGCAGGTCATTCAGTGTTTGAGTTTTCAGCCTCCCTCACTCTATCCCACACCTCACACTAACCTTTGCCAGAGAGAACTTTGTGCTGAAACCCATGCACGCTCGTTCGTGGAGGGCTCTCATCCATCTCCACATCACCCAGGGCTAGAGTGAGTCCTACTGGTGAAATAGAAAGGGGATTTCACTGTTCCCTCTTCTTGATCCACTCTAAAACCTAACACTGCCATGAGAGATTTGGTTCTGAGAACTTGGTCAAGTCAAATGCGATAATTGCCCTTTGCAGAGTAGGTTGTAGTTGATAAACTGCTTTCACATCCATCATCTTATTTGACACACTGTTTCTGTGGGCCACAGCTCCCTCTTGTAGAAGCATAGACCTAGCTGGTATTTCCTGAGCTTGAGCTTTTACAGCACTATACATTGTTCTGAGCAGTTACACCTACTAAGTCGTTTTTAACATTTAAACCTCACAAGGTAGGTACTATTATTATCATCATTGTCTCTGGCTGACAGATGAGGAAGCTGAGGCAGTGCGAAGGCTGAGTAATTCGTCCAAGGTCACCCACCCAGTAAGAGGTAGGACCTGGACTGAACCAGGCAGATGTCTGTGAACCTAAAAATTAAAAATCCATATGACCTAGTAGTTAAAAACATTCAATGTGGAATCATCATCTCAATTCTCTCTTCTGAAAAAAGGGCATTTACTTACCACTCACATCTGTGCGCCGTGTCAACACAATGCAAAGAGCGCTCAGCAGCAGTTTCTCTGGGGTCTGGAAATGTGTTTGCACAGAGAGGAAGGAGATGCATGGTAACTCTGGCCTCTCCCCACCCTTCCTTCCCAGACAAGTGCCGCCCAGCCCTGGAGTGCAGGCCAGCCACACCTGGACCCCTGGCGGTGGACGTGGACTTGGCGTTCGTGGTGGACAGCTCCCACAGCGTCGGCGCCGATGTGTACCGAGCCGCGTTGAGTCTGCTGGACGCCACGCTTGACAACCTAGAGGTGGCTGCGCAGCCAGACACGTCGCTCCACGGGGCGCGCGTGGCTCTGGTGATGCACACAACTCCAGGCTTCTGGCCGGGAGCGGGACACAGCCCGGTGCTGGAGGCTTTCCGCCTAACCTCCTATGGCCACCGAACACAGATGCAGAGGCACATCCGCGAGGCCGCGGGCCGCCACCTGCAGGGAGCCCCGGCCCTGGGCCACGCCCTAGAGTGGACACTAGAGAAGGTGCTCCTGGCAGCCCCACGGCCCAGGAGGGCACAAGTTCTCTTCGCCATCGTGGCCAGCGAGACCAGCAGCTGGGACCGGGAGAAACTAAGGACTCTGTCCCAGGAGGCCAAGTGCAAGGGCATCACTCTGTTTGTGCTGGCCTTGGGCCCAGGTGTGGGAACCCACGAGCTGGCTGAGCTGGCTCAAGTGGCCAGCGTCCCCTCTGAGCAGCACCTGCTTCGCCTGGAGGGGACCTCAGATGCTGATATGGCCTATGCCCAGGGCTTCACGTGGGCCTTCCTGAACCTCCTAAAAAGTGAGCAGTCCCTGAGCCCTCAGGATGCCCTGGGTGGGCTGAGGTGGGGAGAAATACTTACATAGCCTGGTATTTGGGTGAGCAGGTGCCCACTGAATGTTCATTCTTGCTGAGGTACATGCAGCCCTACAGCCTCTGGCGAGCCCTTAGAGAGTACCCTGTTTTCTGAAAACCCTGAGCTATCATTGCCCTGATATGTGCCAAGCCTAGTGCTGGTTTCTTGTCTGCCACCTCTAAGCTGGTGATTGGGAGGCCTCAGGTCTCTACCTAACCTCTCGACTTTCTCACCAAAATGAGAATTCCAGTCTCTTCCTTCTTTGTGAAGCCTACATTCCAATATATCCATGAAGGAGTTTGAAAGCCCCTATGTGTACAAATGTAGGCATAGTTATTGCTCTTACTATATCTCGTAATCCAGACCCCAGAATCCAGCAGCATATAACAGTTCTTCTCAAATTTTAATGTGCACACGCACCTCCTGGGGGATCTTGTTAAAATGTGGATTCTGATTCAGTAGGTCTTAGCTGGGGCCTGCATTTTTAACAAGCTCCCAAGTGATGTTGATGCTGCAAGTCCATGGACCACACTTCGAGTAACAAGAGTATATGAGGTTTATTTTGGGGGGACTTGCCAGGCAGTGAGAAAGAAGTCCAGGAGCTCAGGTCTCCCATCTGAGGCTGGGTGGGTAGATGACATCAACAGTGAAGGGGCACAGTGACAGTGCACCTGGGCAGGAATCCGGCCCCACCTCCTGTTCCTGTGTCCTCACCTCCAGGCAGAACTAGTTGAACCAAACTCAGGGGCAGCCATTACCAAAGCTGTATGCCTAGCATGATAGTGGAGATTGTTAGGATTCAGGGATGGGTATTATCCTGGTCACAGTTCCAGGAGTTTGTCTTGAGCTCTGTCCACCAGTACGAATCCGAAACAAGTCATGTGCAGGGTGCCTTGTTGTGACATGTGAGGCCTTCTTGCCCTCCTTGCTGGGAGACATGTTTCTCAGTGTATAAGTGGGTGTGGCATCCTGTTGGGAGCCTTGAGGGACATCTGCCCCTTAAACTGAAGGAATAAAAGGGAGTCGAATGTACATCTTAGAAGTCCTGACACAGCGTTTGTGCCTCTCCAGCTCGAGAGGTACAAATATAAGTGACTTGGTTCTTGTCCTAGTTTTGCCATTAGTGATCTGTGTGATGCTAGAAAGCTCACTGAACCACTCTGAACATTAGATTCCTTATTGTTGTAGGAGATGGAGGAGAGATTTGTTATATATAGCTGATGGCTTAGTGATTCTGTGAAAGAGAAGAAGGCTGAATGAATCACTTTTCTAGTCTGTTTAAATTTCATTTACTTTATTTTTAATGTTTTATTATGTTAGGTTGCATTTTATACTTTCTTATATTCTTTTATGTTGTGATTATTTATATAAGATGCATTTTATGTTTATTTTTTTATTTTATTTGCTTTTATTTTGTATTATTTTATGCTTTGCTTGAATTTTACATCGTTTTTATTTTATGTCAATGGATTTTTCTTGTTTTTATCTTTTATTTTATTTCATTTTTATTTTGCTTTATTGAATATTTTACTTTATGCTTTATTTGATTTTATTTTATGTCTTTAAAATTTTTGTGTTAATGGATAATATTTTGTTTTCATGCTTTATTTCACTTTATGTTTAGTTTATTTTTAAGTTTTGCATTATTTTACACTTTATTTGATTTGGTTTGATTTTTTAATTTTATTTTTAGGTGGAACAAACCAGTATCCACCCCCAGAGCTCGTTGAAGAATGTGGGGGCCCAAGCCGAGGGGACACTCTGCTGCAGCCACTTATGCTTATCAAGAGGTAGGCTGAGGGCAGAGCTGAGGTTGTTCCATAGCTCTGTCCCCTGAGACTGTCTCCCTAAAGAAAGGTCACAGGAAATGTCAGTCCTTGACCTGACCCAAACTATTGGAGCTAGGATGCTCCCGTGGTTGACATCTCTGATATAGTTTGCTTTCTCTTTCCTTAAGGGTAATACCGGACCAACATGAAACATTCAAAGAGCACATAAATGTATAAAAGCAAAAATTAAAAATTTCCATCCCATCCCATTCCTCATCTTCTAATCCCATGTCCCAGAAGTAAAATTAATAATGCTGAACATATTATTGTTACTTTTGTCCAAACACCTCTCCAACCCAAGAAGGTAGCTAATGCGATAACAAAGTCATCAGGAAAGGCTCAAACCTAAAGCTTATTGAGTTCAGCAATATCAATTGGAAATTGAACCTCTCAGTTCTCGTGGTTTGGTTCTGCAGTTTGACAGATTGTTTATATACAGGTTGCCCAAGCACCAGCGTGGCATATCTGGCTTTGCTGATAATTTGGAAGCACTTGAAGCAACAGATTTTTTTTCAGAGGAGAATAGAACAGCCACGATGACCTCTCTTACTCAGCAAGAAGCACTTGAAAAATATGAAAAGAATGGATATGCCGCTGAAGAAAATGAACAAGAAATGTCTGCAAGACAAAAGAAAAATGGAAAAGAAATAAATTCAGGCACTGCCTATGGTAAAAACCAACTATTCCTTACTCCTTAGGTTGAGTTCACTTTTTAAAATCTTTGCTTTTTTATTTTTATTTATTTATTTATTTATTTAATCCTCACCTGAGGACATTTTTCCATTTTTTGTTCAGATAGAGTGAGAGGGAGAGAGAGGAAGAGAGAGAGAGAGAAACATCGATGTGAAAGGGACACATTGAGTGGCTGCCACCCAGACGACCAACCAGGGCTAGGGACAAACTGCAACCGAGGTACGTGCCTTTAGCGGGAACTGAACCCGGGACTCTCTGGACCGCAGGCTGACGCTCTAACCGCTGAGCCAAACTTGCCAGGGCAAAATCTTTGCTTTTTTTTTAAAAAAAAGAATTCCTGTGTACTGTGTGTGTTAACTTGCAAATTTTGGCTTTTATATACTTTCCTTCCAAATGCAGAAATTCATGGATGCAGCTAAAGAAATGAGGTTTAGAACATATACAAAGACTAACTTTCACCTCAGTGTAAAACTGGAGCTGAACGGAAGCTATTTCAGGGAGTGTGGTGGGGGAACACCCCATGAAGTGTCTGTATGTCTCTGTGCAGAAGCAATGATCTGATGTAAAAGTGGCAAATATACTCCCGACCTTGAGGGAAAATGCACTGGTTTGTAGAAGGCTCCTTCATCTATGAGTGGCCACCTAGATTCAGACCAAGTTTCAGGAACATTTGGGTTCATCTACAACAACTAGCAATGATTGAGGATTAAGGCATGTAATAATACAAATGCCATGTGACCTCTTACAGGGGCTCATCAAAATGAGCAAAACAGTTGACCACATTAGAAAGAGATTTGGGGGGATTTGACCCTAAAGTTTTTTAAATGCAGGGGAAAGATGGCTGGAAGAGTTTCGAGTGAGTGGTATGGTCAGTCCTGCTTAGATTAAATGAGAGAGAATTGCCAGAGGTTTTGAATGTGGTTATATGGCTCTCCACCTGGGGCTGCTAGCTAAGTGGCCATGGGAAAGTTATTTAACATCTCTGTGGCTCAGTTTTATGATCTGTAAAGTGGGGATTGTGTGAATACCTATCTCATAGGGTTGTTTTGAGAATAAAACTTGTTAATTTATGTGTTTGTCACATAGTAAGCATGCAATCCAAGCTAGCTATTAAGATGCTGGTATGGCCCTGGCCAGTTTGGCTCAGTGGTTGGATCATCGGCCTGTGGACCAGAGAGTCCTGGGTTCGGTTCCCGCTAGGGGCACATACCAAAAAAAAAAAAAAAAGATGCTGGTATGTTCTACCTCTTAGATTCCAAAGCAAACTAAATGTCCAAAGGAAATAACAAAACCAGGTAGAGAGAGGAATGGGCATTCCCAGCAGGGACAGTAACATTTACCTCCTTAGGCTAAGCATTCAACATAGAGGAACTTACCTTGTTGATTATTCTATTTTCAGCGTATAATATTCTCAGGTACTGTTACTCTAGGTAGTAATTTTCAGTCTTGGCTGTCAGTCAGAATCTCCTAGGTATCTTTAAAAATTCTCAAAGCCTAGACCTCATCTAAGACCAATTCAATCAGCATCTCTGAGTGGGGGAGATACCCAGTAATTCCACTGAGCAACCAAGAGTGAGAACCACTGCCTAATGCATCCTTTTCCACGAATTCAAGGTGAAAGAGATGGAGGGGAGCTTACTGGTCATTATCTAATTCTATGCGCAGACAAAACCTGAGGCCTGAAGGGCCCCCAGATTCCTCACCCGCTCTGTAACTTGGCTCTGGCCAGTCTCTGTCATTGCATTCTAAGGCTGCCCTACAGCTCCTTCCAGCATGTCTCTCTCTCTAGCTAATGCCCTTATTTTTTGCTTTCAATGGAAAAAGTGGACAGTTGCAACTTTTTGTATTGCTGCACACCCTGTCTTCCCGTCAGAGAAGAGAGCTGTCTCTTTGTCTTCATCTGTTCCCAACTGTCAAAACAACCCAAAGGGCTCTTTCAGACTTCAATGACTTGAGCTCTTCGGGATGTGGCCACTGGTGGCTGTAATCTTCCTCTTCAAACACTCTCCTCTCTTGGCTTCAGCGATATTTTCATTTTGTTTGACCTCTGACCAGTCCATCTTTGTGGGTTCCTCTTTCCAGGTCTATCCCCTCAGAGAGATCCAGATTTTATGGAACATGAAATTTATATAATTTAGGGGCCTCCTTTAAGAAAACAATATAAAATTATCAAAGTTAAATTCAAAAGTGATCTTTATTTAGAAGAGGTTTATGCAAATGAGGGGCCCTGAAGCTTAGGCTTCATGAATTTTATGGTAAACCTGCAATGCTTCCCCAGGGTCCTTTCTTCAATCCTCTGACTCCACAAATACTACTGGGGCAAGCTTTCCGACCGTGACTTCAACTAGCTCCTTTGTACTGATGACTTCAACCCCGGAGCATCCATCTTTAACTCTCTCCTGAGCTATTTAATCAACCACCCTCCAGATGGCACCATTGCACATGCCCGCCATTATCTCAAATTCAGTTAAACAAACTGGACTCATCTTTCCCATTCAAACCTTCTTCTCCTTGATTGGAATGAACACCCATTAGCCCAGGAATGGAAAACTCAAACCCAAACATCACTACTTGTTTTCTCTCCTCACCTCCTGCCTCCAACTGATGACCCTATCTTGGTGTGACTTCCTCCTCAGCATCTCCCAGATCCACCCCCTTTCCCACAGTCTTCCTTTGTAATACCTTGGCTTTCACCTCAAGTGTAATTGTAGTGCTGTCTCATAAGTCTCATTTCTTCCAATTTGTCCTCCTTCCTATACCATTCTGAACACCAACTTAATTTTTCTAAAATGGAAATCGGGTCATGTCATTTCTCTTCTTCTTTATTTCCCAGTGGTTTATAAGATAATATAAACCTGGATAAGGCACACAGGCCTCTGTATTTAGATCCTGCAGTGCCCTCTGAGGCCTACTGGTTGCAGTTGCCCTTATGCCCTGTTCTTTGTTCCAATTCTCCATGCTGTTGCTCGTGCTCACCTGTCCATTTGCATCCTCTTTACAGTGTTTACCTGGATTACATTTCCTCATCTTTTATTTTATTTATTTATTATAGATATGTTTTTATTGATTTTTCTAGAGAGAGAGGAAGGGAGAGAGAGAGAGAGAAACATCAGTGTGAGAGAGAAACATTGATCGGCTACCTCCTCTATGCCCCCTATTGGGGATTGAGCCCACAACTCGGGCATGTGCCTTGACCAGGAATCAAACAAGGACCTCTCATTCCATGGGACGGTGCTCAATCCACTGAGCCATACCAGCCAGGCACATGTTTTCATCTTTCAATACTCAGGTCAAGTTTTACTTCTACTTAGAGTTCTTTCTGGCCCCCATGTAGTCTTAAATATTCATGGTCTCCTTTGCACCCCTGCATTTTAAGCCAAATTCTGCCACAGTACCTGCAACCTTTCAGTGCACCTACTTGTGAAGAATTAAATGTCATATCTTGTCATAGAAGCCAGGCTGATCTTTGTATGATTTTCCATTTCAGTGTATCTCCAAGTACACAGATCTATTTTTTGGCCTTCTCCTCCACATAGGGCTACATCATGAGACATACATACCAGGAGAGAGAACCAGCCCAGGCAAATTGCAGTCTCATCATAGCTGTTCTTTATAGCTATCCTGGTCTCTTCTTTCTCTTCCTCTTCTCTTCATTCCTGGATTCCATGAACCTGTTTGAGTAAAACTGATGGCTGCTGCAGAATTCTTCCAAGAAGGCAAACGTTAACACTCATAGTAAAAATGATGCAAATGTAAAATTGAGGTATGTTTGTCCCCCAATGCCATATCATACTGATAAAAGAAAACTTAAGACTCTAAGGCTTCCTCAGTTTGCATAGAATAGCTTGGACATAGTCATTTAAAGCACTGAGGGTTTATTTACCTATAGCTGTGCTGACCAACTACTAGCCACATTGGCTATTTAACTATAAAATAATTTGAAATGAAATAAAACTGAAAATTCAGTTCCTTGGTTGCAATAGCCATATTTCAAATACCTAGTAGCCACATTGGCAATGGCTGCTGTATTGGACAGTGCAGGTATGAAACATTTCTCTCATAGCAGAAAGTTCTGTTGCACAGTGGTGCTCTAGAAACATAATCTAGAAGTAGCCCCAATTTATCTCCCAGGTTAAATGCAAGAGTGAGGCTTCTAAGGCAAGAGCCACAAAGTGTCACTAGAATAAGTAATGATCTATTTAAAATTTCAACCAAGGATATGTTTTTTTATTGATTCTAGAGAGAGAGGAAGGGGAAGAGAGAGAGAGAAACATCAATTGGTTGCCTCCCATATGCACTCCGACTGGGGATCAAACTCCCAACCTAAGTATGTGCCCTGACCTGGAATTAAACCTGAGACCTTTGGCTACATGGGTTGATGCTCCAACCAACTGAGCCACTTGGCCAGGGCAAAGTAATGGTCTATTTAAATAAGTCCTTGGCTTATCAGTTTGGAGTCAATTTGTAATGGTAGAGTGCCAGCTGACTGCTGAGCCCCAAATCTATTTGTTGAGCCTACAGAGAACAGTCAAAAGTTCACTGCTAGAGTGTTTTCCTGTTGATGCTGATAATTTTTGGAGGAGCATTTGCTCTGGCCCCTTCTCCTGGGCCCTCACTGCCTGCTATCTTACTCCCTACTCCGCTTCCAAGTCAGTCATGCAGCAGGCCAATTCAAATATGCCTGTTCAAGGCGTAGGACAGTTCTTGACCCCAGGAAGAGTATCTCAGCCCCTTGGGTCCAGCACATCTGGTCACTCCTTCAAGAAAACTAGTCTGTGCTGATTATACTAATGGGGGTGAGTAGGCAGCTTCCTAGGAACAGACCACAGGTTTTAATTCTTGTTTTCTGAAGACATCTTTTTTTTTTTTTTTTTATCTGGAAATGATTGTAAGGCCCAGGGGAAACTGTTTAGAGGATACCACTATTCCATGCTGCAGGGCTGACCGGAAACAAGAATACCTGGAAACATTAATGTCTGATTGAAAATGCACTGTATCCTGCCCGGCCGATATGGCTCAGTGGTTGAGCGTTAACCCATGCACCAAGAGGTTGCCAGTATGATTCCCGGTCAGGGCACATGCCTAGGTTGTGGTCCCGACCCCAGTGGGGGGCATGCAAGGGGCGGTCAGTCCATGTTCTTGCTCATCGATATTTCTATTTCTCTCTCTTTTTCCCTTTCTCGCTCAATTAAAAAAAATTCACTGTGTCCCAGCTTTTGCTCAGTTTTAACTTGTTGATTCCCAATGCTTTGTTCATTTTCCAGGAATATTATGTTTAACTTTCAATAGGTTTAACTTTCATTATGTTTAACTTTTTGGGCAAGTGTCAAGGTACAATAAATAATGAATAAACTGGATTTGCTTAGGCTATTAGAAGGCTTTAAGATTAGGCAAGTGATTGAGATGGTTTGAAAAAAGAGAGAAATAAGTATAATAAACCAGCAAGGAGTTCTCAGTATCAGATTTAGTCATTTCTTTATTCACTCACTCATTTATACATTGTCTGATGTCTCCAATAGCTGTAATTGTATTACACCTTTCACATATGTGATGTGACACCTTACAACAAACTTGTGATGAGGTTTTTTGGCTTTCCTTTTGTTGTTTTTTTTTTGTTTGTTTCAATATTGCTTTTATGGTCTAGGTAATTGAGGCAAAGGAAGGTTGTTGCTTGCTCAAGGTCACACAACCAGTTGGTATTGAGGCGAGGGTTCATTTCCAGGACTGTGACACCAAACCATTTGCTATAAAGGGATCATTCCTTTCCTGTCATGATCATACTGGAAATTCAACTCTCTGCATTTGTTTTATGGCAGGTCCTTGTTTTATGGATCCAGAGGAAGGCAAGTGCCGGGATTACATCCTGAAATGGTACTATAACAAGGAGGAGCAGGCTTGCCAACAGTTCTGGTATGGTGGCTGTGGGGCCAATGCCAACCTATTTGAAACCAAGGATGAATGTGAGGTTCAATGTGTCCCAACACCCCTGTAGAGTCAGGCAAAGCCTCGTTACTGTTGTCTCTGTTTTAATAGCTAATGAAACAGAGATTGCCTTTCCTGAGATGGTGCTGCAGCTCATAAGTGATGAAGCCACCCTGAAGTCTCAGAAGGTCAATTCCTAACTCCCTGAATTTTTCCTGCCAGTGGGGACTTGGGCCAAATGATTTGTGATTTGAGAAGGACTGTATTCCAGTAGTTAAAAAAAATTAACCGGAACTTCCCTGAAAGTTATTTAAATTACTTAGAACTGAATGAAAAGGAAACTTGAACTTGACATAGCATTAATTTTATTTTGGTTATGTAGCAAAAGCAACATCAATGTAAGCAGTGAGTAAAAACTAATGGAAGTGAGTTGCAACTTGATTTGTTTTTTATTGCTAGAAAACCTGGAAGCATTAGGCAAAGGCTTTGGAAAAAGGGACATCCAATGTGAAATTTCATCCTGACTACCTGGTGTGAAAATAAAGGCATGCTCGATGAAATCATCTGGTGTGACACTGCGTGTGATATCTGCTCACTGTAATCGGTGCTACTCTTTGTGACATAGCACTTGATGGAGAGGAAACAGAAGTGACTTTGCCATGCGACCCATCCCTTGTTATTAATTACAGAGACTCTTGCCCTTTGAAGCTTGGTGGCTCAGCAATTAAGGCTGACATTGTCAATGCAAATCTGAAGGGTCTAGGTTCACCCCGAATGAAACATGGCTCCCAGCTTGATTCTCCAGGCCTCTGAACTTGGGCCCATCTTCAGGGCAGAACTAGGCACTGCATGGGATTCTAGAGCTGCTGGGTACTGAGGGTGCTTGGCACAGGGCCTCTGGAGGATCATGTATTAGTCTGCTCGGGAATATCACAGGCTGGGGCGCTTAAACAACAGACACTTATTCCTCACAGTTCTGGTGACGGAATCTAAGGTCATGGTGCCAGCTGATCTGCTTTCTGCTGAGAGCTTTCTTCCTGGCTTGCAGACAGCTGTCTTCTTGCTGTGTCTTCAAATAGTCTTTCCTCTGCGGAGAGAGGAAAACAGAGGGAATGAGAGTGAGAGTGAGAAAGGAAGAGGAGGGAGGGAGGGAGGGAGAGAGCATGCGTGCAGAGAGGGTTCTCCGGTTTCTCTTCTTAAAGGATGCTGATCCAATAAGATTAAGGCCTCATCGTTATGACCTTATTGAACCTCAATGACCTCCTGAAGGTCATATCTCCAAATTCAGTCACATTGGGGGTAGGACTTCTACTTATGAATCTGGGGGACACAAACATTCGGTCTCTAACAGATTTCTAGCAGCTGGTGATTGCTCCCAGCGACTCAGAGTGGAGTTTGCTCTCTGGCAAGTTCCTGTTCCATAATGAGAGTTGTGATTTCTAGAATTCTTTTTATTCCTCCTCTCAAGCTGGGTGACACTGCAGATGGAATGGGAAGGCAGCATTATATAAAATCAAAGAAACATTAAAATTTTCATTGTATTTTATGACAATTTTTTTTTCTTTATTGATGTTAGAGAGAGAGGAAGGGAGAAAGAGATAGAAACATTGATGAGAGAAAAACATTGATTGGCCGCCTCCTGCATGCCCCCTACTGGGTATTGGGCCCACAATCTGGGCATGTGCCCAGACTGGGAATCAAACTGGTGACCTCTTGGTGCATGGGTCAACACTCAACCACGGAGCCACACCAGCTGGGCATGACAATTATTTTTATCTGATCACAAAAGGATAGCAAATTTGTCATTTAAATTTATAAATTTGCAGAAATGCATGTGGAAGAAATAAAGCTCACTTATAATCTTTTCTCTCAAAGGTAATTATTTTGGTATAGTCCAGGTTTTTTCTTATGCCTGGAATATTTTTTTTCTTCCATATCAAACGACATTTTAACACATTTTGGCTAAAGGGTTTTCATGATAGGAATAAAATGGCAGGTGTTCCACCTAGCTTGGCAGAGCTGCTCATCACACAGGTGTGTGTATGCATATCATTTTCAGGAATAGCTTCAGCTGCTTAGGCATATGGGGGCCAAGCCCGTCTATCCTGAGGATGGTATATGATTTGAGCTGTGATCTATTTTCCACTTCTTTTTCCCCACCCTGCCCTTCCCATGCCCAGGAGTTGGGATCACAAAGGCAAAGACAAGGTGGTATATAACCTTTCCATGGAGCAACTCTGACCCTGGCAGAAAATTTACTTAAAAAACCCTGAAGTAGTCCGGACTGCGTGGCTCAGTGGATTGAACATCATCCAATGGACTGAGAGGTCCCAGTTTGATTCGGGGGTCAGGGCACATGCCTGGCTTGCCAGCTTGATCTTCAGTAGGGGGCGTGCAGGAGGCAGCTGATTGATGTACCTCTCTCACATTGATGTTTCCTCTCTCTCTAAAAAATCAATTAAAAAAAAAACACATTTAAAAAACAAACAAAAAAACCCTGAAGTACAGAGACAATCTGACCAAGGGCAGAAACAATGATCTATTGTTTTAGATAACATTCATCTCCACTCCTGTATACAGTTTATAAAGCACTTTCCTACTTTATCGTATGTATTTGCCCACTCCCCTTACTAACTTTTGGATGATGGCATTGTTCTTCCCAATTTTTCCCATTCCTCTTCCCATTCTCAGAGAAGTAAAGTGGCTTGATCCAGAACATAACAGAAACTGGGTTTGAACTCCTTTTGCTCTACTCCATTGGTTCTAAAACATGAGCTGTCACGAGAGGGGAAAAAGGATGTACTGAGACAGAAGAAAGGAATTTCCTGCCTGACTGTAAACAAGCTTGACCTTGATGTCTGCTTCAGATGCTTACCTCCCCCTGCTAACCCCATCCCCGGGGTGGGGTTTGGGGTGGGGAGTTCTGGTCTGGCCCTGAGTCTGGGAAAAAGCAGGAGTGGACTGAAAGAGGTTGAATTGTGATGCAGGACAATCCTAAAGACAGCCTTGATCAACATCGTAGGCGCTTTGGAACTAGAAGGGCTTGTCAAAGTTGCCCCAGTGTAGGCCAAGATGGCTGGGCCTGTATCCTCTGTCTCCGTTGGCCATTGGATATGAGCTGCCCTGGGAAGGCTTGCTCTTGGGTAAGACAGCTCTCCAGCTGTGGCAGACCCAGAAGGGGCCCAGTGCTCTGTCAACAGTGCTCCTAGCAGCTGGGTCAACCAGTTCTTCACTGAGGGGAGGTGCAGATCTGGGGAGCACATCTCCCGGTCTATCGCTGTGCCTCTGCCTGAAATGCCCCTTGGTGTTGTTTCCAAACATCTCTAGCTTCCCCAAATCCAACAGGACACACTCAGAAGCATTAGTGTGGAACACAAGGTCTCAGAGATCTGGTCTTTGCATCCATCTCTAGCCTCACCAATGGTGGTAGTTGTTCGGTCCTTCCACATTTTCACTGCAATATTAAATACATTACTTGTACTGTTTTGGAGATTCCATACTCTGTCCATTTATGCTGTTGCCCTTGGTGATACTTCTGTGGGGAATACCTTTTTAATTTATTTGTTTGAAAAATATATAATAGGCATCTGCTATCTATCAGATACATTATGTGTGTCAAAATCTAGCTCAGTTGTCATTGGCTCTGTGAAAACTTCTCTGATTGTCCCCTTTCAAGAAAGAATTGGCTATTATCTCCTATAGGCTGCCTTATACACACTTCACTTTCGGCCCCTTTCCCATGATACAGGGTGGGGCAAAAGTAGGTTTACAGCTACGAGTATGCAAAACAGAGTTTATTCTTGTATTATTACTTATTAATTATTGTATTCTTTTCCATACGAGCAACTGTAAACCTCCTTTTGCCCACTCCTGTATTTACACCAGTTTCCCCTTAGTCTCTTTAGATAGACTGTGAGTCTTTTTACCTTAGAATTACCTGCCCTGCCTAAGGCTTGACATGTTTCCCTTTGACTCTGATTTTAATTTTTATTTTTTATCCTCACCCGAGGCCATTTTTGCATTTAACTTTAACTTAAGATTGAGTGGGAGGGAGAAAGGGAGGGAGAGAGAGAGAAAAAAAGATCGATGTGAGAGAGACACATCAAGTGGTTGCCACCCACATGACCCCAACCGGGACCGGGGACAAACTGCAACTGAGGTACGTGCCCTTAGAGGAAACTGACCCTGGGTCTCTCTGGTCCGCAGGCCGACGCTCTAACTGCTGAGCCAAACTGGCCAGGGCTTGATTCTGATTTTTTTTTTTTTAACTCTCTGCCTGCTTTCAAAGACTTAATGTCACCCTCAAATGGCTGAATTTTTTATTCCTGTCATATCTTTTGCTCTAGAAAAACTATGCTTTGCAGATGCTCTGTATTTGTTTCAGACATGAGGGTATCAACCAAATGGAAAAACATTTGTGTGTTTTTAATTTCTCCCTTAGATTTGTTCTCTCATTAATTATCATCATGCAATGCTCTGGGAGATATTAAATTTTCTGATGAAGAAATCAAGGTGCAGAAAGGACACCAGATCTCAAGCAACAAATCAGTTGGTAGCCTAAAATTTGAGTTAAAATGTTTTGGAACTGATTTGGCTTCTGCTTGGTTCACCCTGCGAAGTTTAAAGGTTTTAATTATTGTGTAAATTGACTGTACTTTGAAATATACAGAGGGATTTTGATTCTAGAAAATTGGAGGGTTTAGGATTGCTAGGCTCAGAATTTGGCTCCTAGCCACCTATTGAAATGTATAAATAAATCAATCCAAGGATTTGCCCTGAGCTCTCCTAAGTGGAGCTCGTGCTGACTGGATACTTTCCCGGGGTTTCTCTCTTATATAATATAGCTGGGGTGCACTGTTGGAATTATGAGGTTATAGGAAATGCCCAGCCTTGGGCACTTGAATTCAGCATCTAGTTCCTTCCTTGACTTTCCTGGTGACATTATTCAAGTTACTTCATTTCTTCTGGGTCTCAGTTGTTTTGTTTGTTTTGGGGCTGAGGAGACTGAGCATGAGTGAAATATCTCTTGTCCATCTATATTCTCTCTAAATTCTGCATGCAAACTAAAGC